ACGCGCGTTCTTTTTTTTCCTTTGGTTTTATGCAACTGCGTGCGTGTGTTTGTGTGTGTTGCTGCGGATAGTCCCTCCCCCTTTTTTTTTCCTTCCCCCCCCCCCTCCCTGCGCTCACTCTCTTCGTTTCCCTTCAGAAGAGTTCAGTGAATGAAATGCGCCTGGCGCCGAACTACGGGGGAAATCTACCGGAGCAGTAGGAAGCTGTGAAAAGGACTGTGGTGTTTGGATCGGGTCCGGGCCCATGCAGCCACCGTAGAAGTGTGTATTCCTTTCGTCCGAGAGAGAGTGAGCGAGGCGTGTGAGGAAGTTGCCGCTGTCGTTTCTGTTGCATCTCTCTGCGTATTTATGACGCCTGTATATTCACCGTTGTTGTTTTTCTTTTCTTCTTTTTTTATTTGCGTCTCTCCTTTGGCGGGCGGGCGTCCCACGCGTCAACTCTCCCCCCCCCGCCCGTCCGCACACGGCCGGAAGGGGAGGCGGGGGGAATGTGGCGGGAGAGGTGGCGCACCTGCACAAATGCCGTGGGTGTACTCTGGACGGTTGGCGGCCGCCTGCGCGCCGTATACAACGGCTCGAAGAACGAGGAGGAGCGGCGCAGAGATCAGCACGCGACGTTGGTTCGCCTCACGGCGTTCGCCTTCGCGTTTGTGGTCTTTCTGACGGTCGACAGGTACGGCGATCCGGCCGAGGCGGCGGCCGGCGTGACACGCGGCGTACGACGTTTGCTGCGAGGAAGTTGAGGTGCATCAGCGACCGCGATGGGCGGATGGGCGCCGGCACCTTTTGCTGCTTGGGGTCTGAGGCGGTGTAGCCGAGGGTGGAGAAGAAGGCCTCTCTCTCTGAATACGCTCCAGCCGGCGTGGCGGCTTGATTCGCTTGGAGTTGCGTTGCTGTTGTCGTTGTTGCTGCCGCCGCCGGGACAGTGAAGCAAAGGAGGAAGAGGCGTGCGCTTGTTTTTGTTTTTGTTGGCCGAGAAGGAAACGCTTCTTCTCTTCTCTCATGGCGCTTGTGTGTGTGTGTGTGTGCGTGTGTGTATGTGTTTATGTGTGTGTATGTGTGTGCGTCTTAGCTGCGGCAGTGGCGCGTTGGCCGCGGCGTCGCTGCGGCCTGCAAGTTACGTGTAGCCACGCCTTTTGTTGCCTGTTGACGGCGCGGCCTCCTCTTCCTTCTTTTCCAACGTCGTTGCACTTTTTTGTGCGCATGCGGTAAATTCACACCGCACACGTGCATCGTGGGCGCATACGTGCAGTAGTAACTGGGCGAATAGGCAACATTGCACTGCGCTGCGATCGCGGCCGTGTGGCGAGAATAGGAGGAAGAGACGATGGCCCGAGGGGAAGCTGAAGCAGGACGAGGAGGAAAGGCAGAGGGCGATGTCGCGCGGCTGCAGTATCGCATGCCGTGGATGATCTTCACGCCGACGTTTATTCTCTTTTTTCTTCTCAACTACTTGGCCTGGTTCACCACCGTCAACGAGGACGGCACCGACCTCGTCATGTCGCCCTACGTCGCCGCCGTACAGGCGGAGAGGGCGCAGAACCTGTGGGTTCAGGACTACCCGTTCGATATGCGGCTTTTCCTCGAGGACACCGTGCTGCGCGGCCTCTTCGGCGTGGGCCAACGCCTTGGCGGAATGGATGGGATCCGCGTCATTTGGTGCCTCGCGTGGCTGGCGCACTGCCTCGAGTTGGGCATTGCCTTTCGGATTTGCCTGGCGTGCAGGGCGACGCCGGCGGTGTTTGCCGCCTACTGCCTGCTCACTGTGCTTGGCGGCGTCACCCAGCTGGTGCCGCTGATCGAGGCCCGTGACAAGTACCTCTCGCTGCAGCCACCCGCGCCGGCCGCGAAGAAGAAGAGGAGCTAGAGGGGCGGGGAACGACGGCAGGAGAGTGTGAGAGGGGCCCATTCGCCGCGGCTCGCTCTGGATCACATCTAGGACGAATTAACCCCCCCCCCCCCCCCACCTTTTTTTTTATGACTCCCCCCATCCAGGCTGCATCGAGAAGCCCAGACGCCTGCGGTGGAAACGTCTGTGTCCGCTGGGCAGTGCCTGCGCCCCCTCCGCGCTGCACCTCTCTCTTGCCCTTTCCACTGACGCGGGTAGACAGAGGCCCGTGCGGACACACACAGACAGACAGACAGACAGAAGCGCACAAGAACAGAGAGACACAGACACAATATTTATCTACAGCTGCGCTGAGGTGTGTGTGTGTGTGTCTGTGCGGGGAGGCAGCGCAGACGGCGTTGCCGCGCCAGACGCAACGGACGACCCACCTGTTCACGCGGTTGCAGGGGGGTGGGGCGGGGCGCCGCCCGCCCTCTTGCAGATGTGCCAGCAGAAACCCGGTGTCCGCTACTCCGCCCCCTTTATTTCCGCCGCAGATGTCCCGCATCGTTCCCGGCTCCCTAACCTTTTGCGTGACGAGGCCTCGTTTCTTCCCGCGGCGCCGGGGGGAGGCTCCGTGCCCGCCGCGCCCTCGTCGTTCGGCCGTCTTTTTCAGCCTCTGACCCCCGCCGCGCCCCGGCAGCGCGCCGATGTTCTTGCCACCGACACCACGGCGCCGCTGCGGACGCGGACGGCGACCACGACGCTGTCGGCGGCGAAGCGCTCCGGGACGAGCCAAGGCGCCGGCGACTGCATCGCGGCCCTCATCGACAACCGCACCAACGAGGTGGGCGTGGCCCTGTGCCAGTTTCCGTCCCTGGCGGTGGTCATCACACAGTACGGGGACAGCGTGGCCTTCGCCAAGACCCTCTCCTTCGTGTTCTCCCGCAACCCCGTCGAGGTGCTTGTGCCGGAGACGGCGGTGGAGAAGAAGCTTGTGCAGACGCTGCTGCGCCACTTTCGCGACATCACCTTCACAGGCGTGCAGCGCCGCACCTTCGACGAGGCCCGCGGCGCCCACCGCCTGCTGGAGCTCATGTCAACCGACGAGGCCTGCCTGGAGGTTGGGAACACGGACCGCTACCTCTGCGTGGCGGCCGCCAACGCCCTCGTCGAGTTTCTGGAGACGACGTACAACTACACCCTCCTCCCGCACACCGTGCGAGTGCAGTACGTGGCGCTGGAAAATTACATGGAGGTCTCTCGGCTCGCCGCGCGGGCGTTGCAGCTCATCCCCTCCGGCCCGCCACTCCGCGCCCATCGCGGTGGCCCGCGGCAGGAGGAGGCTGCGGGGGCCGCAAGCAACACGCGCACGGCCCGCAAGACACTCTTCCGTGGCGCATGCGATCCGCAGCAGGGCGCCCCGATGCTGCCGCTTGTGGAGGTGCTCAACCACACAGTGACAGGTGTGGGTCGACGACTGCTGCGCTCCACAATTCTGCAACCGCTGCGGGACCCCACCAGCATTGAGCTTCGCTACGACAGCGTCGAGTGGCTGCGGCACGACGAGGAGGCGCTGACCGCGCTGCGGCGTTCCCTGCAGCTGCTTGGCAAAGAAGACCTGGAACGCGCCATATCCTGCTTTTCGCATGAGCCAAAGGTGCAGACTCTCAAGGTCATGCAACAGCGAATTGAGGCTGTTGTGACGCTGTGGCAACTGCTGCGCGCCGCCACGCAACTTGCGGCTACTCTGCGTGAACACTTGGGCATTGACAAGGGCACGGCGAGGGATCGCAGTCATGACGGCTGCCCCGGTAGCAGCACTGACGACAATGAGGGTAATGAAAGCGATACGGAGGATTCTCTTTGCGAAGAGCAGTTGGGACGCAAGAGGCGCAGATTTGATGACGCATTTCAAGGGCCTCAAAGTGGTGCGACAACGCCTCCCCGCGACACGGATGCGGGGGCGCCTGCGGTTGCTGTAAAGAGCCGTCGCTGCACGAGTACGCTCCTCTGTAAGCTTCTGGAGACTCTGACTGTCTGCCGTATGGAGGAGATCTGCAGCGCGATTGCCGTGCGCCTGGACGAAAGCATCGTGCGCGCCACCAGCGGCATGGGCGCACAGGCCGGAAATGGGGTGACTCCGCGGGCACGACGTCCCGGTCATGCCATCCTTCAAGTGCAGCACTGCTTTGCCGTGAAGCCCAACATCAGCGGCACCCTCGACATGGCTCGCTACCAGTACAGTCAAGCCATCGGCTCGATGTTTGATCTAGCAGAGGAGCTAAAACAAAGGCACGGTGTTGGGTCCCTGCGTGTCGTCTATGACGGTGTCCGCGGTTATCACTTTTCCTACGATGCTCGCCATGAGTGCAATGCGCCTGATGCCGTCTTCCTGCAGAAATACTCTGGCGGAAGTCATTACTCACTGTACAACAGCAGTTGCACGATGATGATGATGGCAGACGAAGAGGAGAGGGGGGAGACACGGGCCCTTGACAGGGACGATGACGTTCACGGCGGCGGTGGGAGCAGGCTCCACGCTGTGGCCACCGGCAGCACCTCGCCTCTGCGCGAGGAGTACGCATCCGTGCGCCAGAGCCGTCGCCGGCCGTTTTCTGCCTTCGAGGCCTCCGCGTTGGCAGGTGGGGAGCAGCAGGAGTGCCGTGGAGAGCACCAACTCACAAAGCACCAGGTGCGTGGCAGGCGGGTGACGTGCACGACCACAGAGTTGCTGGCCCTTCGCCGCAACGCGGAGGACGCGGCGGCGGAGATCCTTTGCACACAGGACGGCCTTGTGCGCCTCCTCATCGATTACCTCCGACAACGCCTGGGGAAACTGCAGGCCGTGTGTGACGCCGTCGCCATGTTAGACCTGCTGGTGACCTTTGCGACGTACTCTCGTCTTAACGGCTGTGTCCGACCGACGTTGTTGAAGTCTGAAAGGCCGTTGGGGGTCGGCGGCGGCGGCGGCACGTATTTCTTGGAGGCCCGCCACCCAGGTGGGCTGTCGACGGCGAACAGCATCCGGTGGGACGCGGGCGCCAACGTGCTGCTTGTCACAGGGCCTAATGCCGCGGGGAAGACGACCCTGCTGCGCCAGGTAGGTCAGCTGATTGCGCTTGCGCAAAGTGGGTGTCTTGTTCCGGCTAAGGCTGCCGCACTGCGTCCGTGTGACAGACTTATTGCCCACATGCTCTGCGACGACCCCGAGGACACGTCCAGCTCGGCGTTTGGAAAGGAGATGCGGGAGCTCTCGTATTTGTGCCTGCACGCCACGCGAGAGAGCGTGGTGTTGGTGGATGAACTCGGACGACGCACTTCCGTGCGAGAGGGGGCCGCGATTGCCCGGGCGACGGTGGAGTTCCTCGCTGAGACACGTTGCCGCAGCGTCTTTGTGACGCACTTTGGCGTCTTGACGTGCCTGGAAGGCCTTTCCGCGGGTGGGGTGAGAAACTACCACCTTGCGGTGGGCACTGAGAGCAGCGACAAGGAGCAGGCTGCAGCTGCAGATGCGACGAAAACGTCGGGCCGCCCGATGTGCACTCTCCGCTTCGAGTACAGACTGCTACCCGGTCCTTCGCAGGTGGATCACTATGGGCTGCGTCTTGCGGCGCGTGTTGGCTTCTTTCCCCCAGCGCTCGACCTCGCCAGGCGGCTGCTGCCTCTGATGGGCGGGGCGGGGGAGGCGGGACAGCCCAGTGACGACGTTGGCCACGGCGCGACTGCCCCGGAGGCCGAGGATGGGTCCGTCGGCAGCGGGCATGCGACGACGGTGGCGTCTGATGGGCGCAACGCCGGGAAGCCGATGGAGGATGAGGAGCACGACGGCGCGGACGACGATCCTGCCCGCCCCGCCGAGGCGAACGGGAGGCTTTCAGGTGCCACAGGCGTCTCCAGCATTGTGGTGGTGAGTGAGGAGTCAGACTTCTCGGAGGTGTTGCGGGAATTTTCCTTGACGGTATAAGTTTGGGGGCTTTTTTTGTTTTGTTGTTGTTGTTGTTGTTTTTTTTCTTTGAGGGGTGTGTGTGGGGGGTGCGGGGCGGGAACGGGTACTTTGCGTGTGCCTCGTGTGCGCAGATGCGGCGCCTGGCGTGTGTGGAGCGGGTGGACCGACCCACGCAGAGCGCCGCGGTCGCCTTTTTTGTTTTGTTTTGTTTTGTTGCTTCTCTGTCTGCCTCTGTGTGTGTTCTCCTTTCGCATCTCTCGTGTGTTTCTTTTTAGGTTCACCCGTTAGTTTTTCTGGGGGAGGGGGACGCATGCGCGTCTTTGGGGGATGCATGCGGCGCCCGCAGTGGCTGCTGCCGCCGCGCCACTGCCGCGGCTGCACCGCAGCGGCGGGCGTAGACATCGCCACGCTCCTGCGCGTGGCGTCGTCGTCGTCGTCGTCGTCGTCGTCGTCAACGCCGCCGGCGCCCGCGTCGGGCGCAGCGATGCGGATGCGGGGGCGCGTAGAGGCGGTGCGCGTGCGCGGGCGGCTGGCGTTCATCCACCTCCGCCAGCCTCCCGCGCACTCCATCCAGGTGGTGGCCTCCGGCGCGGCCCTCGCGCGGCAGGTGAGGGACCTCGCCCCCGAGTCCATCATAGACGTGACCGGCGCACTTATCCCTGCGGAGCGGCCGGTGACGTCCGTCAGCTGCTCGAACTACGAAATCCACGCCGAGCGCGTGGAGGTGGTCAGCGCGGCGGCCACCCCGCTCCCGTTTCCCATCCGCGACCGCCACACGAGGCTGGACACCCGCCTGAACCACCGCGTGGTGGACCTGCGCACCCCCCTGATGGCGTCGGTGCTCCGCGTCGTCTCCGCAGCGTGCCAGGGCTTCCGTGACCAGCTGCTTGCCCGGGACTTTGTGGAGGTGCACACACCAAAGCTGCTCGGCACCGCCTCCGAGAGTGGAAGTGCGGTGTTCATGCTTGACTACTTTGGCCAGCAGGGGTACCTGGCGCAGTCGCCGCAGCTTTACAAGCAGATGGTGCTGATGGGTGATGCAATGCGCGTGTTTGAGATCGGCCCTGTCTTTCGGGCAGAGAAGAGTCTCACGCACCGCCACCTCACAGAGTTTGTTGGGCTGGACGCCGAATTTGTCATTGAGCGGTCGTACACGGAGGTGCTGGATGTCCTGGAGTCGACGGTGTGCGGCATGATTGACTACCTTCAGGGCGACCACGCGGCGCTGGTGCGACGGGCGCGAGAGGCGCTGGCCGAAGTCGACGCCGCAGAGGTCAGTGCCGCCGCCCCGGCTCGGAGCGCAGGGAAAGAGGAGGCATCGATTGTGTGTGAGCTGTCGGCGGAGACCCTCGCGACACTTGGGGTTTCCACGCGCGACGCGGCAGAGGAGGCTCTGCTCGCAACCGACCGCTACCGCGGCCGCGTTGGCGCGGGCGCCGTTGCCACCCGGGGGCAGGGCCCGCGCCGGCCGAAAGTGCTGCGTCTCGCCTTTGACGACGCGGCGCGGCTGCTGCGCGATCACGGCGTGGTGGATCAGCCCACGGCCGACTTCACGCTTCCGCAGGAGCGGCGCCTCGGGGAGCTGGTGCGCCAGCGGTATGGGGTGGACGTGTACGTCGTCGACCAGTTCCCGGCGGCGGCGCGGCCCTTCTACACGCTGCCGCACCCGCACAGGGCAGAGTTGACGTGCGGCTTCGACATGTACCTCCGCGGCGAGGAGATCTGCAGCGGGGCGCAGCGCATTCACGACGTGGCGCTCTTGCGGCAGAACATGGAGCGATTTCAGGTGGACGTGGCGGGAGTGAAGGACTACGTGGAGGCCTTCCGCTACGGCGCCTGGCCGCACGGCGGCTTTGGGCTTGGCCTGGAGCGCATTGTGCTTTTTCTGCTTGGCGCGAAGGACATCCGCCAGATCTCCCTCTTCCCACGGGATCCAAAGCGTCTCACGCCGTAGCTGCGCCCCACATGCGCCTGTGCCCTTCCTTTCCTCCTATCGACCCTTTTGTCGACTCCTTCGTGAGGCGCAAGCAGAAGCTCAACAACAAAAAAAAAAAAAGAGCGTCATGTGTGTCTTTGTGTGTTTTCTCTCCCCATCTTTTTCCACCGGCATGAACGCCACTGCACAACCGCCTGTTGTCTTTTTTCTCGCCATCGCTGATAGGAATGGGAGTGCAGGACGAACAAGAGAAGGAAATGCCAAACGGTCTTGAGGCCCGCCTGGTCTCTGTGGCCGTGCGGTTTGAGGAAATCGAGCGGTGCATTGCGCAGCTGCGCCAAATGTCGCGTAGCGCACCGGACGCGGCAGCCGCGGGGGCGGCCTCCGCGACACGAGAAGCGACGGGTGCCCGCCATCGTGACCCCGGAGACGTGCGGGAGCTGCAGCAGTGCGCGCGGGACACGCCGGAGGTGGCTGCGCTGCGGCGGTGGTGTTTGGCGCATGGACTCTACAGCGCCCGTTTCCGCTGGGTGCCGAGCGAATATTACCAACAGCCGCTGCAGTGGCGGCGGGACGTTCTGGAGGCCCCCTCCATTCACCACCTTTGCAAGTCCATCGTGCTGGAGAACACGCACTGCCCCCACACGGACTGTGGCCGCCGCGAGAACTCTCGCTATTATATCGCCGTCTTCCCGTACACGGAGAGGTTCGATAACCGCCTCCTTACGCGCTTCGTGATGGACATGAACAAAGGCATGGGAAAAAAGAAGTTTAACTTTCGCCTGGCAGACCCTGCAAAGGCGCTGCAGCTGACGGGCTTCAGTTACGGTGCGGTGGTCCCGGTCGGCACTACCGAGGAGGTGCCTGTTATCATCAGCGACCGCATCGTGGAGCTCTCCCCCTCCGTGTTTTGGATGGGCGGGGGCCACCTGGACTGCAAGCTGGGCGTGGATGTGGCGGAGTTTATCCGGGTTGTCAATCCTCTCGTCGCCGACTTCACAACCCCGCTAACGGTGGAGGAGTTGGAGCGGTTGGTTGAACTAAAAAAAAAGGGGAAAAAGCGAAAAAAAAAGACAGAGGAAGAATT